CATCACTTTGAGGAAGAGTCTCATGTGCTTCACATGCAGCAAGTAGAATGCAATCACGAGCAGATCCATAGTTTGAAGCACCCCAGTCATTAAGCTACCAAAAAATTTCAATACAATTTTATTGATTTATAGCAATGGAATGGTGGGGACAATTCCTACATTATGGAAATCAATATAGATCACAGTAATAGATTTACATATCAACACTTCTAAATACCTCAATGAAAGCATTAACAATTACTCCAGCAGCAGAGCAATCAAAAACATATATAGATGGTGTTTTTAACCATGAATCAAGTTCGCAAATTGACAATGGGATGTATTCGGTATAACCCTGCACATAGACAACACGAGTCAGGAAAATGCAAAAATTAGCAAATGGTAGAAAAGGAGAGGGCAGGGACAGCTCCTAGAAATGAAGGAATACCTTATTAAATAGCCAGATTTCACCATTATGTGTTGGCTTTGGCACACCATGTCCATTATAATGATACAATACTCTCTCAGACTTTGCATATCTGCGATATGTAGTGCAAAGTTTCTTCACTGCCTCTAAAGTAGGATCAAGTTCAACCTTATAGCGAGCCTGGTTATAACAACAAAATGTAAATAGGAGTATAAACCTGAAACAGCAATTCTAAAAAGGAAATACAAAATGAAAAAGTGATCTCACCCTCGGTTGCCACCTTTCATATTGATCTCTCAAGTTCTTTCCAATCGTTTCAAGTGCTTTTGGTGGTGCCATAGAAAAAGGATCTGCCAATAACCAGAAGGATCAAATTACTGAAAAAACAAGGCAACCCACTTTTCGGCCAACCAAAAGCATAAAAAGTAAAACAAATTATTTCTCCTTAACATAATGTTTTATTTGGTTCCCAAGGTGATTGATGACAGGAAAGAAAATCTGATCATCGCTCCAATTTGCAGTTCTAATTCTAGCACTAATATTCCAAATTACTGTATTTCCACCTTATTTGAATTGAACCCAAATAACAATGTTGGGTCCCAGTGCAGAGTTAAACATATACACATAAAAAAATAATGGCAGCAAACTGGAACCTAAAAAAGTCAAGTGAAAGACAATTTACTTTTCCAGGGAACCACAACAATGAAAACACATCATGTAACCACAACTGGAACTTTAGATACAATAAAATACTCAAGCATTTTTAGATATTTAGGTCTTTTTTTTAATATATATTTGTGGTCTAATTATAACTTCAGAACTTAATTATGTCCCATTCTGATTTTTCCTTTAATTTTGACTAAAATTCAATGATTAGATCAGCTGGGAATGAGGACCATGTGAACCCAATAGCTAAAAATGTATGGCTTGTAGCATAAATACTAATTTGAGACTATTGGAAAGTGAAAGTTCCCCTATCATAGTTGGAAATCAGGTCTATAAAACCTAAAACTTAATGGTTCTTATTTCAGCTGAAACCAAAGCTTTTCAATCTATTAGTTTTTGGGAGCTCCTGCTTCCTAACACCATTTTGAGAGCTATATATCAGTAAAACACACTGAAGGGAAGCAAAAGGGAAAAAACAGGACTAATAAATAATAATGAAGAGAAAATACATAGAAAATATGAGCAAATCATTGTGCAGGCAGTCACAGGAACAATATCATCCTTGTGCCTTTGTAACTAATGAAAACATAATAACTTCCTGAAAGAAAAGACAACTCTAAAAAATGTAATACTTTAAGAACTAGAACCCAGAAAAAAAATAAAAGCAGGAGGAGAGAATCAAGTTATAGAAAGTACCTATCCAGCATTCCATTCTTGCACAAGGAGATATCTTTATTACATCAGGCGGATCAACATTAATGTTTAAACATAAAACAAGAGCTACACATCCTGTCTTCATCTGCAGATAAAGTTGGGAGCTAAGTCAAAAAGGTCAAAACTTAGTTGATATCATACTTGAATGCAAGCCTGCCAACAACTAACAGATTCAAAGACAAATAAAAATTCTTAATTGATGGTTCACAATATTTATTGAGAACCAAAAAAAAAAAAACAAAAAAAACAAAAACAAAAACAAAGAGTCCATACGGTAAGACAAGAAATAAATTTGCAGCTGGGTGTGAAGAAATAAATTGCTACACAACCAAACCACCAGAGGTTATGTAAAAGGGGATAAAATTTGAGAAAGAAAATATAGTGGAAACGGGAGACGAATGTTAGGATTTCATAGACAGTGGAATGAGATTTCTTATTTTGTTATTTCCCCTTTCCAAAACACCACCTCATTTATTTAAAATAATAAAATAGGGCAACTTTATGGTGAGTTTCAATCCTCCAAATCAAACAGGGTTAAAAAGGGTGGGCAGGGCAAAATGCTTAGTCCAAAGAATGTGAAAATAAGTACAAAGACAGCATTTTTCAAGTAGATTCTCATGTCAATAGAGCACCAGGAAGCAAAGAAGATTCAAATCCTCAATTCTGTTCATAGATCTTTGGATTCCAAAATACTCATTGGACATACTAAGGACCAAAATGTTGGAACTCCATCTTGCCCTTCTCTGCCAAAAAGGGCACATCTCATGGATTAATCTTAATGACATGGGATCAACCAATTTCCTAGAAATTTGACTCTCACTACAGCCATAAGGATTCCTTCGTACTTGGAGATTAAAAACTAAATGAAAACATAGAGAAAAGATTTGGGGTCTTAATTTCAGAGAGAACTTAATGATAAATACGACTGCCTCTTTGTAAAGAACATTTCAAACATTGCATCTTAACTTGTAAGAAAAACATATAAATCAACGGGGTTATTGATTACTTCAGTATTTATGATGCAATCCACATGCTCTATGCAGCATGACTTCCACCCAAAAATTTAGGATATAATCTATGCCTCTCAGAGAATATATAACCTAATAATAATGCTGACCCCAAATGGAAAATTCTTCATTGTATACCTACTATATTGTTCTCTGAAACGCTAAAAATTCTAACTTTTGGCTAAAAGTAAAACCCATATTTTTCCTCCGCCCGTAATACCAAGTACCATAGTAGGCAAGCCTAACATTGTAAACAAACCTAAAAGAAACTATCGTCAAGATATTCCACGAAAATATTTAACTTGAAACTTATACTTACCCTGTCCTTGTGACGCCATTTGGAGACAAGACCGCTATCAGACGGGCCGGTTGGCGTGGAAACTTCAAAGACCTCGTGTCGAAGCTCGCATAATACTACGGTCTGGGGCAAATACACCATGCTGGTGGGCGTGGATGACGTGGCATTGACGTAACTGCTTGTAGTTGCAGTCTCGGAATCCCTCTGTTGCGAGAACAAATCGGAATCCTCCTGGTAATCATCGTAGTGATTCGACACCACCGTAACAGATGATTGCGAGAACCGAGACGCCATCAAATCGCCCAATGCCATCCAAATACAAATCCAAAACAAAACTCAAGGGCATAAATAAATATCAACAATCCCACTATCCGAAAACCATATAAAACCCTAGACTTCCCGAAATCAATTGAGATGGAAGGATAAGGAAAGAGTACGGTCGTAGATTTTATGGGTTAATCAACAAAGCCACTCAACCAGCGGCGCATGGAGATTCGCCTAAGGAGGGAGACAGAATCCAGCTCGTAAGATTGCGGAGGGACAAAGGGAGAGACTTTGTAACCATAGACGAAACCCTAAGCGGTGATGGTGGAGGCGGCGGCGATTGTGGTGGCGCATACAACAGCGGCAAAAGAAAGATCTCCAAAATTAGGATTTTGCGCTGCTGAGTGTGTTTGTGGAATTGTGCGTGTGTTTTTCAGTGTATTCTCTTTCTGTAAATCCTGTCTTATTTTATTTTTCATTTTTATTTACTTTTATATTTCAGACAGATTAATTTAAAAGTCTCCCTATTTTTGGGAAAAATAAATAAATTTCAAAGCTTGTGATATCAATTTTCTTTCTTTGTACACTTTGGATATCAAGTCAAGTTTATTCTTAGGCCTGGTACTATTTTGGGTTGAATAGTTATAATATTTTCAACTTATATGTATTTTGAGTTTAATTTATTTTTAATTTAATTAAAAATATGTTTTTTAAGTTAAAATTAAAAAATTTATTAAAAAAATATTTAATCATAATTAAATAGAGTAAAATGAAAGGACGAAGAGAAATATTTTGCACAAAATCAAAATAATAAGTTGTGTAATGTGTTGATTGATTACATATATTGAAATGTGATACAAATTGTAATTATATCACTTTGATTTTAGATTTTTTTTAATAAGAAAAGTGAATATGCAAATGTTATGACTTTTAGAATGTTAATACTACTTATAAAATTATTTAAATAATTTTAATAATTTTTTATTAATTAATTAATTAAAATATTAAAATTTTTTAATTATTATTATGATATTTCAATTATTAGGACTTCTGATTTCCATCCCTCCCTTATTTAATTAGTGGGAGTATCTTTTTCAATAACAAGTTACTTGTTTCAATTTGGTTTTAAAGTGGAAATATTTGTGTGATAATAATCTTAAATAATTGAGGAAAGAATCAGAAATCTCGTTACTTCTGCAAATAATGAACTAATGAATTTGGAAATTTCAATTCAAATTGATTTAGAAAATCTAAATTTAGTAAGTGGACAAGTAAACATTAAAAATATTGAATCATGGAAAATCATATTGATATTAATTTCATTCTTTTATCTACAAAAAAAAAAAAAAAAAGGCGTTTATGCTGTGGATGTTGATTCATTACAATGTTTTCTATTTTTACGTAATTCATTAGATTTTTTTTTTCATCATTAGAATGTTTATTAACAATATTTTTCTCAAACCTAAAGATTGGCTAAATGTTCCAAATCTACTATTAAATCTAAGGTTCAAATTTTATTATATTTAAAAAATTAATTTTTTTAAATATACTAAATCATTGTAAAGAATATAATTTTTAGATTGCTTAGAAAAAAATTTTAATCTCTATACGTGCAAAAATTGACTAAAAAATATTTATCTGCAAATTAAAAAATTATATTTTCTCACAAGCCGATTAATCTAACAGAAATAAAAAAATTAGTATTATGGTGGATCAAAAAATTAAGAAGACAATGTAACCCGATGGTGGAAAATCTTTTCTAAATAAATGCACCAAGTAAATAAATATTTTCTAACATAATTATATAACTCTAATTTAACAGTTCAAAAAATATCTAATTTAAGAAAATCCAGTTATTTGAACCCTAAACCTTAACTACTTAGGAAAATTTACTGTGGACCTCAGGAAAATTTAAACCTAAAACTAAAGTATTTGAATTTTACCATACAAAGTTAAACCTAAACTTACTTTATTTCAAAATAATAAATATTTTTTATTTAAAATTTATCTCAAATAATAATTATTTTTTTATATTTTAAAAAAGATAAATATTTTTTTTATTTTAACTTTATAATTATCACTTAATTTTAATTATTCATCATATTATAAAAAAACTATCTTTATTTATTTATTTTTTGAAGGTAAAATCGATAACAATAATAATTATCCTCAAATTCTTAATCCTAAATTAAAAAAAATGTTTATTATTTTGGATATTGAAGGTGTAACATGTAAATTGCATCTATTACAATGTATATAAAAAAGGACAAAACCCTCAAATAGGGGCAGATCCAACCTAAAAAACATGTAAGGATAAATTATTTCTTCAAATTATAAATTAAGATAAATTCCTCATTTTTTAACCGATTTTGTTTGCTAGGTAAGGATTTTTAATGAAAAGTTGATGTTACACATTAGAAAATAGATAATTTGTCTTGGTTTATAATTTAGAAATGTAATTTATCCTTGCATATTTTTTAGGGGTGAATCAATCTCTATCTCTTATTTGAGTGGTGGATTTAGGGTTTTGTCTATAAAAAATGTACATTTTTTGGGGAAAGTTTTTAGTAGTACCTTAGTTTTCAAAATAATAAATATTTTTTATTTTTATATCCAAATTGAGAATTTGAAGATAATTTTTATTTTTTTATATGATACCTTAAAAAAGAAACAAAAATAATAAGACATGAATAATTAAAATTAAAAAACAATGATAAGTTAAATTAAGAAAAAAATATTTGCGGCCCTAAAATATGAGGGAACAAGTACTGTTATAGAACAAATTTTAAATAAAAACAGTAGTGATGGAGAGAACTAAAATTTAAGGTTAATGATGCATCATAAGTCATATTATTAAATAAGTTGATATATATAACATCACAAATTCTGATAAAGTGAAAAAAGCTAATCACTAAATAATATAACTCTATATTTAAATATTTTAAATGATGTGGATCATATCATCTCATTGATTCTAAATTTTGGTCTCATAAAATCTGTCATATTTATCATTATTCAATCAAAAAAGTTTATTATTCTAAAACTAAAGGAATATACATTTTAATTTGAGTTGTATAATATATATGAGATAATAATAACTTATTCGTGAACAATTTTCACTCTTGCATGTCATATAACTCAAACCATGACATATTTTTCTATTAAAAAGATATTACCACTTGTCAGTTGAGTTATAATTGGCATGAAACCTCTTATTTTTTTTAACATTTATTTGTTTTATGATAAAAACATTTATTTATTTAAGAAAGATTTTATTTGGCTATTATATATACAGGAAAGATTTTTGAAAACTTGCATGTATTATCTTATATGCATTAATTTTTAATTTCGATTGCTTTACTTCTACTTATCACAATATGATCAAGTCACCAAGTGGACTCCTTAGGTCATGTTGTGAGAATTAAGATTCATTGTTAATAAAATATTGTAAATGAATCATTTCTTATTGTATTCTGTTTGCCTTTTGTTTTCGTTTTAGCTACATAAAAAGGTTTAAGGTGAGAAGAGGTTACTCAATCCAAGGCCAAGGCATGCTTCTATCCACAATGGAGACTTATGGTGATAATTAAATATTGCTCATTTATAAAAGGATTTGTTTAATTTGTACCTTTATTTACATTTTTTTTTTTTACATTTTTTTGTCATAAATGTGTATTGAAAAAATAAAAGTTAACATTTAATTTATTACTTGTCCAATTAAATTCATTTGATAGTGAAATTAATATTAA